CTGGGTCTGGTGGAGGCTTCATGCCGGTGGGTGAGTGGTCTGGCAGCGAGTTCGGACCCGAAGTAGGTTATGTGACCTGGCCTGTGACATGGGGGTGGAGGGGCGGCGGTTTCTGTTGAAAGATCTGGTGGCAATTCTTAGGAGGAATTAAAACTGCACCTTCAGCTGCTGCTCAGCCTCACTAAGAGCCATCCTTTCATGAGTATTCAAAATTCCTGGAGAGAATTGAGGCATGTTTGTTTTACGCGAGTTCGGACCCGAAGTAGGTTATGTGACCTGGCCTGTGACATGGGGGTGGAGGGGCGGCGGTTTCTGTTGAAAGATCTGGTGGCAATTCTTAGGAGGAATTAAAACTGCACCTTCAGCTGCTGCTCAGCCTCACTAAGAGCCATCCTTTCATGAGTATTCAAAATTCCTGGAGAGAATTGAGGCATGTTTGTTTTACATTAAATCCTCTGTGATTTGTCAAGTTGCAGTTATAATGTTACAGTTCAGTTTTTGTGGGGTAGGAAGCTTGGTTATAAGCTAAGAATGTAAAATTCCAGTTAATTAGTTAACCAGTTAAAGCTAAGGTTTAACTGTTTAGGCAGGCCCCTGACCCCTGTGTAGGCATGGTGGCTGTCTTCTGGTCTTTGCTTCCCCTTTACTCCCCTGCCTGGTTTATCTATAAGAACTAGGGATTTGAACGGTTGACTTGAACAGACCATTTTCTGACCTTACCTGCTTCTTCTGTGTCTTATCTTTTCATTTTGATGTTCCTGTTTATTGCTTTTTTCTCTAGAAAGTAACCTCTTGGGAAGAACATTTACCATCAAACAGCAAAATCCACAAAGTAAACTATTTTATTAGAGAGAAATTATTTTTCTCTAGTTAGTAACAAAAGTACATCCTGTGCTTTGAGTAATAATCTTGGAAATGTTATGTACCAGAATAGTTGTATGCTATGGCAGACAAGCCATCATGCAACGGGCTGGCAAAATTTATCTTCTATTTGGGATAATTCATTATTCAGTACCATGAAAACGTATTTAAAAAAAAATTCTGTCTCTTAGCCATGCTCACCTGTGGAGTTAATCTGGCAAAGCTCAAAGGTTGGGTTTAAAATAGTGATCTTTTTTTTACCTCATGCTCTTAGTATCCTCCATTTTTCATTGTGTAGACCACTTTGTAAGAGAGAGCATCTAATTATCTGCTTTTCCTCTAAATATTACAAGTCCCTGTTATGTGAGTCTCAAAATCTTTTTAATTGTGCAGACTGCTAGGAAGATCGCTGCTAGTGGGGTCCCTACATTATAGTTTGAAACTTCGTGCTCTAATAATGCCTTGTCAATGTTAGAAGTTTTGAAAATGTAATGTTAAACCATCTAACCTCTGTCCCTTTTTTCCTCTGACAGTCGATTTATTTTACACATTCCCAGTGAAGAAAGAGACAATGCAATCAGAGTGTGTTTTCAGATTGAACTTGCCCATTGGTTTTACTTGGATTTCTACATGCAGAACACACCAGGATTACCTCCGTGTGGGATAAGAGACTTTGCTAAAGCTGATATCCGTTTTATTGGTACACTATTGTTTGTTCAGTGCTTGTGGATAAACTGTGTACTCCGGTATGGTAGTGAAATCTTGTTTTTCTACGTAAGTGTTTGCATAACAGTCCCTTTGTTTGAGTGAAACAAAACTAGCTTAATTAGAAGGTCTTAATAGTTATTGCTGCTACAATATAAGAGCTTTAAAAAAAAAAAACACTTGCTATCTTTCCCCAGTTTCCAAAGAGCCTTGAGAATTCATTAGCTTATTGCTTGATTTGGGGCCTGTCATTACTTTATCCCGTAATTGAGAGTTAAGTCAGGAGTTCCTTTTGTGTCCAGCGTGGTCAAGCCCAGGAGGGGCTAAATATAAGGGTTCTCTCTCTGTGGCATATTCCTTCCACTAACTTAATGGATTTCTGTGGAGATAGTGAAATGGGTGTTAATTTTGCTAGAAATAGAATAAAGTCTCTGGGTTTTACATGGCATGCAACTGTGAGGGGTTATGCTACTTGCTATATGGTTCTTTCATGATGTGTTTATTTAGTAATTCAAATTATTTATAGCCTCTCTTATGGTGGATTTTTATAATTTTCATGAAGATTCTTATACCTGAATACATGGCTTAAGCAATATTTCATTTGGGGTATTCTACACTGAACAAAGGCTTCTCTAACTTTAAAGAGGAATCGTTGTATAAATTGCTTGCATAGAAGTTGATAAATCACCATTTGGTCTCTGAGTCTGCAGAAAGTAACTCCTTAAATGGATTATTCATGATATCTTAATTTTTGGCTCCAGATAAACAAAAGCAAAATGCTATTCTGTACAGAAAGTGGTGCTTGTAAACATTTGTTTTGGGTGGGTCTCTGTGCAGTTAGTTTCCTTAACATGTTTCTATACTTTTTGGGCATTGCCCTTTTTTACTGCCTCAAGGTGAAGATGTGCAAAGGGTTTTGGATGAGTGGAAGGAGTATAAAATGGGAGTACCAACCTATGGTGCAATTATTCTTGATGAGACGCTTGAAAATGTAAGTATAAAATTAATTTGGGAACATTTGTACAACAAGAGGGCTGAGTAGAAAGGATGTTAACTAGCTTTAACAGCCCCAGCAATTTTTTGTACTTTATGATCTTTTGTCTGAAGATGTGGTTTTTAAACATTACCACTTCACACTTCTGTTGAGTTTCTGTACATCCTTTGGTTGTTAGGTAGGCTGTAGGTGTTATCTTTATTACTATTATACCAAAGGCAGTTGTGTATTTTCTTTGTCTTTACACCACATTTTATTGCTTAATTAAAAAATATAATCCTATAACAGAGTTAGTAACTTTGATAAATCTGGTAATCTGTAATGCTAATGGAGCATATGATAAGGCCAGGCAAAAATGTCACTTTGAGAACTACGACAAATCTATGAGATCAATATTCTTGCCAGCAAGTTAAGGGAATGTGGATTGGATGAATGGATGGTAAGATGGATAGAAAGATGGCTAGAAGGCCGGGCCCAGTGGGTAGTGATCAACAGCTCGGTGTCAGGATGGCGGTCGGTTTCTAGCGGAGTGCCCCAAGGTTGGGTTCTAGGACTGGATTTGTTAAATATCTTTATTAATTACCTGGATGAGGGGTTGGATTGCACCCTCAGCAAGTTTGCAGATGACACTAAGCTAGGGGGAGAGGTAGATGTGATTGAGGGCAGAGATAGGGTCCAGAGGGACTTAGACAAATTGGAGGTTTGGGCCACAAGAAATCTGATGAGGTTCAACAAGGACAAGTGCAGAGTCCTGCACTTGGGACGGAAGAATCCCAAGCATAGTTACAAGCTGGGGACCAACCAGCTAAGTAGTAGTTCTGCAGAAAGGACCTGGGGATTACCGTGGATGAGAAGCTGGATATGAGTCAACAGTGTGCCTTTGTAGCCAAGAAGGCTAATGGCATATTAGGTTGCATTAAGAGGAAAATTGCCAGCAGATCCAGAGATGTGATTATTCCCCTTTATTTGGTGCCGGTGAGGCCACATCTGGAGTATTGTCCAGTTCTGGGCCCCCGACTATAGGAAGGATGTGGACACATTGGAGAGGGTCCAGCGGAGGGCAACCAAAATGATTACGGTGCTGGAGCATATGACCTACAAGGAGGGGTTGAGGGAGTTGGGTGTATTTAGTCAGCAGAAGCGAAGAGTGAGGGGGGATTTGATAACAGCTTCAACTTTCTGAAGGGAGGTTCCAAAGAGGATGGAGAAAGGCTGTTCTCAGTAGTGACAGATGGCAGAACAAAGAGCAGTGGTCTCAAGTTGTGGTGGGAGAGGTCCAGGTTGGATATTAGGAAAAACTATTTCACTAGGAGAGTGGTGAAGCACTGGAATGGGTTACCTAGGGAAATAGTGGAGTCTCTATCCCTAGAGGTGTTTAAGTCTCAACTTGACAAAGCCCTGGCCAGGTTGATTTAGTTGGGATTGGTCCTGCTTAAAGCAGGGGGCTGGACTTGATGACCTTCTGAGGTCTCTTCCAGCTCTATGGTTCTATGAATGGGTATTCACTACTGCATTGCTTGGATTCTTCAGGTACTGCTGGTTCAAGGATATTTAGCAAAGTCTGGCTGGGGATTTCCAAAAGGGAAAGTAAATAAAGAAGAGGCTCCACATGATTGTGCTGCTAGAGAGGTAAGTTCCATTGATGAATGTTTAAAAATTGCTTAACCCTGAATTTTGAAGGAACAGAATCTGGACACTATGTCAAGCAAGCAGGAGAGTTATTACATACACAGCACTGGGTGGAGTGTCACTTGTTAAGCTCAGTGAACACTGCTAAACAGTAGGTTACGACTAGTTATATAGGATGCTCAATGGGCAGATCAAAGTGATGGGGGGAAGAGTGGGGAGATCTTGGACTCCCTGGATAGATGCTAATATTAAGGCAAGATAAGAGCAATAATATAAAGTTACATAGTATTTCCAGTAAAACAAGTATTTAAACAAAGCAGACATCAATTATCAATCATCAGTTAAGTGGTGATATGTCTGTCAGCTTCAAGAAGGTTCCTCTTCAGGATGTGGTCCATCTGGGGATTAAAGCAGAGACCATTAGGAGTACTTAACAATGGTACAGTTGTGCCTAGCACCACTGAGTGTCATGTCCTGTCTCCCACCCTGGACTAGGTGTGCGGGGTAGGGAGCTGGACGGTAACTATCATGTACTGTAACAAAAAACAGGACTATGTAACACTTAAAAGACTAACAAGATGGTTTATTAGGTGATGAGCTTTCGTGGGCCAGACCCACTTCCTCAGATCAAATTTGGAAGAAAATTGGCAGGACCATATATGCCAAAGGATACAATAAAAAAAATGAACACATGTGAAAAGGACAAATCAAATTTCAGAACAGAAGGAGGGTGGGGGGGGAGGTAAATGCCTGTGAGCTAATGATATTAGAGGTGATAAATGCGGAAGCTATCTTTGTAATGGGTAAGATAACTAACGTCCTTGTTAAGACCTAGGTGTAAAGTGTCAAATTTAAGCATCAATGACAGTTCAGAGGATTCTCTTTCAAGTCTGGTGTTAAAAGGTTTTTGATGCAGGAAATCAGATTGTTCAGACAATTCCCTTTCTGGTTGAAATGGCAGGAAACTGTTTTTTCTTTGTGATCCTGTCTAATATCTGTTTTGTGGGCATTGATTCTTTGGCGAAGTGTCTGAGACGTTTGTCCAGTGTACATAGCAAACGGACATTGTCAACACATGATAGCATAAATTATATTTCTGGATGAGCAGGAATATGTGTTCTTGTAGTCATACCCCACTAACACCAACCCTGGAACTTTCCCTTACAGCAACCCGTTGCCAGCTTTGTCCACATATTCATTCTGCTGATACCATTAGTGGACCTAATCAATTGAGTTATGATCAAGAACATCTATTCCTGTCTAGAATATTTTAGTCTGCCTCAGAAATTTTCATCCTACAATTTAAAAAAAAAAAATTCTTTGACAAAGTAGTTTCTCACATGTTGAGAGTAGGAAATTCTAGCAATCTCATGGTGTCTTTCTACAGAAAGCGCCTCTTAAATTATTCTTATTCTTAGTGTCTACCACTACAGCATTTGGTCCCGTAAATAAGAAGGTGGTGCATGAAAGAGGTCACTTTTCACTCAAGATAAAGTTGCTTAAGTCTGCACAGTAGGGCATATTAAATTAAATCCGATTTTAATTGTTTTACATTTCTACTTTTTATTATTTTCCTAAAGAAGGTGGCTTTAAGTAGCTGTTACCATTAAAGCATGTTATTTGAAACTAAACGTAGTCTGTACATTAGGGGTCTCAAGCTCTGGTTGGGGATGTCCTACCGACTAGGAGTAACTATAGAATCTGGCCTGGACTACCAGCAGGCCAAGAGGAAAGGGAAGCTGTCCATTACTGGCCTCCAAACCCTGCCTTTTCTCTCTCTCCCCCCCCCCCCAGTAGCTGTTACCATTAAAGCATGTTATTTGAAACTAAACGTAGTCTGTACATTAGGGGTCTCAAGCTCTGGTTGGGGATGTCCTACCGACTAGGAGTAACTATAGAATCTGGCCTGGACTACCAGCAGGCCAAGAGGAAAGGGAAGCTGTCCATTACTGGCCTCCAAACCCTGCCTTTTCTCTCTCTCCCCCCCCCCCCCCCCACCACCACACACTCCCCCCACCACGTGGGGATTGCCTGTGCCATGTGGCAGCAGTGGTTGTGAGCCCCTGCACTCCCAGTGGTGGCTGGAGCTATGGAGGGAAGCAGAGCACACTGGAAAAGTGCACTTGTTCCATTTCACCACTGCTCCTGTTGCCTCAGGTTGTGCTGTGTGAGAGACCGCTACCACCATGCAGTACCAGACCCCCGCTCCTGGTAATCTCCGAGGCTGCATCCTCAGGAATGAGGTGCCAGTGAGGAGAAGAGGGTGGGACTAACCCCTCAAGTCTGCTGAGAGTCCTGAGCCAGATTGTGCAATTGCCACAAATCCCACAGGCTGGGAGATTGAGACCCCTTCATGCATTTCTTAACTGCTAGATTTTTTTTATTTCACTCTTTGTCAAGCTCTGTTTGGACATTCAGATTCAGTTTACTCAAACAGCATTTTCATTTTTTAATAAATACAACTACCTTAAGTGCTTGATACATAATGGGAAATTTTATCAAAATTTATCACAGAAATTATGATCTGTATTTAATTGAACTGACTCATGTTCTTCAAGATTTTAGAACTCCTTGGTAGTGGGGGGTTTTTTAAGACTAGAAGAGGAAATGTTAGTTTTCCTGCTATTTCAGCTAGGGATGTGAAAGCTTAACTGGTATGCTGCTTAATATTCCAGTTAACCAGTGTGAGCGGGAGCTGCTCTCAGCTCACCATGTGCAAGGGGCTGCTTCAGCCACACGGGGCCTGCAGTGGACAGAGGCTGCTCTGGCAGCCATGGAGGGGGAAGGTGCTCCAGCCCATCTGAGCTGGAGCACTCCCCTTTATTCTCTCCCCCCCCCAATCAGTTAACTAGTTAAACAAAATTTAATATCCCCAATAATTAGAAGAGGTGAATTTTTTACATGGGGTACTGGTCTTGATCTTAACTGTAGCGGACTGAGCAGTCCACAGTAATGCCATCTAGACCGCCTCTAATCTACAAGAATGCTCAGGGAGTGTATAAGACAGTTTTGCTCATAGATAAAACGATGGATATGGAGAATCACATTGAATATCATAAAATACCTTAAAGCTGTAAATCAAACTAAATTTAGATAAAAAGCCACAAGACCCATATAAAGATTGTCATAAAGATGGTGCAAAGTCTGTAACTTGGTGGTTTCCTTTAAACTGTAAACTACATAGCTCAGAATTCAGTCACTGGTTACAGTGCCAAACATATGTAAATGGGACATGCATTATACATTTTAAGTCAATTCCTGTGCAAGAAAAATTTAAAATTGAGTTTTAACTTACAAAGCTAAAGGGTCAAGCCAGCTAATAAGCATAGACAATGCTATTAAGTTCAAATGACACAGCTACATTTGTTAGGAATGTGAAAAACAGCAATCCGGACTAGTGTATCTAGGCCTACTTAAAAAATGTCAGAATGAACATTGGTTTTCTGCCCATGTGTGGAATAAATGTTGTGTGCTGAGGTGTATGGATGTGCACCACCAGTAGAAACAAAAAATCCCGGTATTGCATGTAAGTGTAAATGAAGTAAAATTATGAAATGCATAGACTAGTCAAAATATTAAAATAACTCCCTTTGAAAGAATAAAATTACAGAAAATATATGTGCATTGCAGGAAGTACTAAGAAATAACAATAATACAAGTATGTGGGAGATGAGTGTAAGCCCGACTTAGACTCTGTGTGAGACACCAGCTAAGCTGGCTGTTGGAGAAATCTTGAAACCATGCATTTCCTCTTTTTAAAAAAAAGCACTCCATAACTGTTCAGAGTAGACCTCAGATTGCATCAGGTCTGAGTCCTGAGCCAGGCGGTGTACCCTTTCGTTGGGTCTGTGGAAATATGCACTAAATACTTACTCCTGGGGAAGTTCTGCGCCACTGTGCACGCGCAGAATGCATTTCCCTCACAGATTTTGTTCCCCGCCCCCAACCGAAAATAGATTGTCGGGGAGGCGCTGCAGTTATACATCTTATGTCTCCCTACACTCCCCTCTCATCCCCGATCTGCTGTGGCACCAGAAGAGAGGGCAGGAGGCTGAGGGTTAGGGTAGCCATCTGTGGAGAGAGGGGCCAGTGGCTGCCTTCCTCACAGTGCTCTGCTTGAGGGGCCAGGTGGGGAAAAACAGGACCTGTTTAGGGGACAGACAGGGACACATGAGGCTGCTGGGAGGTCACAACTGTGGTTCAGAAGGGCTAGTGCTTTTTGGGGAGCAAATTATGGAGAGGGCAGAGGAGGTAGTGAGGTGACAGGGTTGAGCCATTGGCTAATGGAAGTGGGGATGCAGAAACACATGTTGGGGGAGTGAAGGAACACATAGGGACAGGAATGGTAGATGTACCTGACAGAGAGATGCTAGAGATCAGTCCAGGGTCTGCATGGGGAAGACTCTCCAGCTCCTGACTCCCCACCCCAAACAAATAAACCCCAGTAATATTCTTCCACCCCAGATCCAGTAGCCCTTCAGGTCCAATTCCAGGCTTCTTTCCTGTCCTTCAGCTTCTTCATTACGCTGACTACCCCAAGCTGCTGTATTGCTTTTGGGGAGTGTGGGAAATAGGTGTAGTTTGAGTAATAATTTATTTAAACTACATTCTGTTTTAATATGTCTAGTAAGGAATCTTTGTCAAAGAGTTCCTTAATCTATTTTGTTGTCAGACATACTTGCTGATATTTATTTTGAAATAAATTGCCAAAATAATTGAAACTGGCATAATATTTGTTGCTTTGACAGTATTTTAAAATTTGGCATTTTTTATTTATGTGCAGAAATTTTAACATTTTGGCAGAGTTCTCCTGGGAGTGCATACTGGAAAAGGCCACTGTACAAACTGCATTCATTTACTTTTATATTTTAAAAAGTATACCTATCACCAGGTGACAAGATTGTACAATGCTATCGAATTTTTGACAAAGATTTTGTGACTGACTGACAGTTATGATGCAGCCTGCAATACCTTCATTCAATTTTATGAAGCTGAATAAAACCTCTGAGTTAGTTTTAACATCCTTGGAGTTTACTATTGAAAATGAAGTTGTGTACTGCTACTGTGAGATTGTTCTATTTACCCTTCCCATGAAAATACTTTCAATGACACGGGCTGATTAGGCAAGTTTATTCAGGTTGTGACCCTGTCAAAAAAGTTGCCCATTTGAGAGGTATGCAAATACTAGTTCACATAGTATTGTCCCTGGACAATCCCATCAAATACCATACTTGCCACTTATCTTTCATTAACAGACTGTGTTCACCTAACTGACAGTTTACATAGAAAAAAGAGCCTTGTGCCCTGCCTGTATTCTGCAGCTGAAATAAGGCAAAGTCCAGAGGTGCCCATGCACCTCTTCCCTTGGATAGATTAGAAAGAGGCTACAGCTCATCAGATTTTCTTTCATCCCACTTTTGAGCAGTGTTACCTTTAATTTTTTCCATCCATATGTGAAATAAATTTTTGCTATGTGAACCAAGGCATATGTGAATGTGCATCACCAGTAGAAACACGTGCTGCTGGCAGTGGGTGCTCTGCTAACCAGTTGGGGAACATTTGAATCTCTCTTGGGTGGTTGCCCAAATTCTCAGGTTATAGGGAATACTGGTGTTGAGTCTTTGCAGATACTCAAGTTATTTCTACACTGTTTAATACAGTTAACAGTGAATGCAGCTGGAGCATATGTAGATAATTCCCAGTTGCTATTGATTGATCTAGGGCAGAGTTCCCTGAAAGCTGTGTGGTTGGGTGGCCATCCAGGAGAGAATCAAATGGCACCCAGCTGATGTCACCCACATTTGGCTTGGCTGCCCTAACACAATGTTTTCCATACACAGATGGAAAAAATTGAAGGGAACATTGATCCAGGCATATACCGTAACTCTGTATTTCCTAGTTTTTTACGAATTGGGGCATTACTGAACTTAACATTCTAAAAGGGCACAAGCTATTATTATCACTACCTTTAACTCTGGGTTAACAAAGGTGGTTTTTGTTTGCCATTTAATCTTTGTTCTTTTTGCTTGGAGATATGTTAAGGAAATAGGGTTACTCTGGCAGCAACTCCTGTCTGCAGGGGTCCCAATGGGAACCTGTCCCTCCACACACACACACACCCTACCCCACCCCTGTGGACAGGGGCTGCTGCTGTGAAGCAGCCCCTGTTCACAGCAGCCTGGGCTGGCTGCGACCAGAGACTGCTCTGGCAGTAGCTCCTGCCTGTGGCCAGCTGGGAAGCCGCGAACAAGGGCAGCTAGACCTGGCATAAGCCAGCACTGAACAGTCTCAGCTTGCATGGGTCTGGGACTGCTGAGCCTCTGTGACTGCTGTGCCTCTGCATTTTAAATGTAGTACAAGCCACCCGGCTCTTATTACATTTAAAATGCAGAAGCACAATGGTCCCAGAACAAGCCTCCCCTTATCAACTAATTGTGTGGTCAGTACAAATTGTATCGACTACATGATTAGCAAAATACCCATTCCTTAATGTCTTTTTAGTTTAACAGCATTCAGCAAAACTTTCATATTTCCTCCCTATCTTCTGTTCTAACCCAGCACTTGCCTTTTACGTAGGAGACTAGTTCACGTTAAAAGCATTAGGCAAACAAGGGAAAAAAGACAGAGCTCTTGGATTTGTCTCCAGACTATAAAACAAGTTGACTTTCTTTTGGTGAAACACACAGAACTTTTCTGTGTCGTTCATTTCATGGATTAAATACTAAGTTATCAGGACATAGGAAAAATAGTCTTTTTAAAGGCTTTTATGTGAGATTATCTAACCCAGCTCCTCATTATGAAACAGCCTCCCTGAATGGCTTGTTTTTGTGAATATGGTCTTACCACACAAGGGGAATTTAGACATCCAGCTGCATTTTATTTTGGTCCCTTTTTATTAATCTTGGAAAATTTCTCACGGTATATGAAGCAGTAGAAGGTGTGTTGCTTCCTAAAATCTGTACTCTGAATGGTCTACCCACAACTGCAGAAATCTTATTTACAGATTTTTTTTTTTACAAATTATTTATTTTTCTTATGTATTTGTCAAGATCATAAGTGAGGGAACAATGCTAACTCCATAGAGACAAGTTGGACTGTGAAAACTGTTTAATCAAGAAGTGTATATGTAAAGGTTGGCACAGATGTCAGTGAAATGTCATATGCTGAACAGACTTTGCTTCCAACCAGTTTGGTGTGTACCTTGGTTCACAGATGTACATGTGCAAAGGATATAATTTGTCTTCAGTAAGATTCCTCAGGGCTGTTTTTTGGTAAGATGTTTACAATATTTTCTGTCCAGAGCTTTGATCAAAAGCTTCCAGTAATGATAGCTGTTTTTAGTTTCTAAAGTGACTTATTTGGTGAATGAGGAGATATTGGAGTCCCCTCACCTCACATATTACTTTGCAAAACATAAAGGCTATGTCTAGACTGCCCCCTCTTATTCAAGAGAATATGCAAATAAGGTGAAGTGGTGAATATGCTGTGCCTCATTTGCATACTTAATGAGCCACCATTTTGCACAAGGGGCTTTTGCGCAAAAAAGCTGTCTTGTGCAAAAGCCCCTTGCAGAAAATGGCTGCTCATTAAGTATGCAAATAAGGTGTGGCAATATTCACTGCTTCGCCTCATTTGCATAGTCTCTGGAGTAAGAGGGGGCAGTCTAGATGTAGCCAAAGAGCCTTAAATGTCAAGATGATTACTTATTGTTCTAATCTTCTCAGTAATGATACCTGGTAACAGTATAAATACTGTATTATGAAGTGGATGAAACCATTTTTTTGTTTAAAGAATTCTGCATCTAAACTTGGTTTGTGTTCATATTGAAGGGGCAGGTTTGTATTTTCCAATGGTGAATTGTGAAATATTCCAGTAAAATGTTGTTCCATTATTTTGTGTGTGTGTGTCAAGACTTAACACTTTGATTCCTTCTGAGCAAAAGGTTGTTATAGTATGTCAGCAGACAGAGTAATTCTAAATTCTGTTTCCCTTTTTTCAGCTTGAATGCTTAGTTTTAATTTAGTAATATTATATTTTTGCTAACCTACAGGTTATTCAGAGTAATTTATGGTACTGTTGCCTTTTTGATACAGAATAGACATAAGAATGAATATTATGTGGGGGTTCACATGGTAGTAATAGTACTAAAGATAGGAGAGAATTAAAATATAGCAATCAAGTTAGGAACTTTTTAATTTTTTTGTAACTCTCTGGATGTCTAAACTCTTTAGAGCCAATGTGTTTAACGTTTATCTGATGCAACATACTTTTTTTTTTTTTTTTTTTTTTCCACATATCCAATGGGGATCTGAAAGGTTAACCAGTTAACTTGCGGATGCTGGAGCAGCTCCCCAGCTCTCGCCTGGAGCAGCCTCTGTCCACGGTGGGCCCAGGCAACCTGCAGGCAGGGGCTGCTCTGATGGGAGCTGGCAGCAAGCCTTAGCGCAGGGCTGGGGGCAGGAGCTCTGTAGGCGAAGGGCTGCTCCAGATGGTCTGGAGTGGTCCCCAACCCAGATCCCACTTCAGTTGATTTTAACCAACACCTAACCAGTTAACCTAAAGTTTAATCCTTTAGCTGATTAACTGAGATTTTACATCCACAGTGTCCAGCATCATCAACAAGCAGCTACACTGTTTTTCCTTGTATTTGCTTGCCAGTGTGGAGAAGCATCTTAGAGCAAAGATAAATTGGGGTAAATTAATTTCTCAGCATTCCCAGAAAAACCCTTGCTCTTTCACAGATTGTCTAAATTATTTTCCACTGCATGCTCTATAGCTATAATGTACAAAATCTGAGGGTACAGCGGTTAACTTCTCCCATTAGCAATCAAATGTCTATGCATTTGTGAAAATATTACAGTTGCTATCAAAGAACTAGTATAAAGTTCTGATGTACCTTCAAATACATTTTTGTAAGGCACAATTTTAATTTGACCTGTCTGATTCTCAGGTGTTTGAAGAAACTGGTTTTGATATTAAAGATTACATCTGCAAAGATGACTTCATTGAACTACGAATCAGTGATCAACTGGCACGTTTGTACATCATTCCAGGAATTCCAAAGGACACACAATTCAACCCCAAAACCAGAAGAGAAATTCGGGTACACATAGTTATGTTCAATAGACTTTTTTTTTTTCAGATTTCTATTACCTCAGTAAAGATTGATTAAGGTTTAATATTAAACAAAAGGTGGTGAATGCAGCATGAAGAGTGTTGGGTTATGTAAAATGTATTAGGAGTCTGGGGTGGCTATACGTTAGTGGTTAAGGAGCTATTGCCCTTTAAACATGTTTTTCCCCTTTGTCCTGGCAGCCTTGGGAGATGGTTGCATTGAACAGTGTCTTGTTTTGTTTTCGCACTTGTTCTGTAAAAATATTTTCAGGATCAAAGGGCTTTTCTCCCTCCTTATAAGCTGCTGATTAAGACAATATGTAATGCTGAATCAACTGCAAACCAGTAATCAAACAGGGGTGGATATAATTGTATTTGTCACCTGCTTATTAATATTCATTGTGTAGAGTTAATACCAAATAAGATTTTTAGGGAAAGCAGTGATAAGATGTGTGAAATTAACATACGAAAATAGATAAAAGGGTGTAACTGGTGCCAAATTATGGCCACTCAGAACAATGTGTTGGGGGTCCAAGGTTAACATGCATTGGCAATAAAGCAGTTTTGTGTACCTCATCTGCTCCTGCATCTCCTGTTTCTTCTCTAACAGAGACTGCTGGTCAACTGCACATTATGACATCTGGATTTATCATAAATTGGCACTGTAGTATACAGGCTGACTCTTAACAATAAAGCACATCCCACTTTCTCTTCCTGTAAATATGGAAAAGCTAACTGAAATGAAAAAACCCTCTTAAGTCTTTATTTTTTATAAGGTTATAAATATTTCTGGACACTATGTAAACCTTCATATTGGAAGAGTAAAATGGGCTTGCTTTCATTCTGTAAACAGTATAAACCAGATGTAGTGTATGACTGAGAGCAGGAGTAGATTTGGTTGTGGGACTTACTGGGAGCCAGCCAGTGTGTGGGTGATCTGAACTCAAGTGGACTTCTAGACACTGTTGTGATGGAGAGGAAATTAAAGCACCTAATGTGTGAAGTTCTTGTCACTGCCTGTGACATTCATTGCCTCCTGAAACTTGAATTTGAGTCTTCGAGCAGATAACGTTTTAACTTTTTATATCTATTTTGTTTTAAAACTAGAATTAACTCCCTCTTTAGCTATACCTTTTGACTACTGAGTGTAATAGGGACGACAGCCCTTTATTAAACATTCCTTTTTTCTCCTTAGGTTGGCTCCCTAGAGGTATAAATTACTAGCTCCTTGTTTAAGCACCCTATTGACTTGATCTAGTTAAAACCTTGATTTGCATTTTTATGTTTTGGGTAAAGGCCCTTCAGTCTGCCTTCCAGTATGCTAAACTCTGAGCGTGTCATATGAATTGCAGAATCATGCTAGAGCTGAACTGATTAGTGTGAGGGGTTAACTGGTCTTTGCACATTATTTTTTCTTAGTTCTATTTCGCATATAATTTAAAATCATGATAGCCAAAACCATCTTTGTAAGCAACACACATTATGATAGCCAAAAGCATCTTCACAACATTATATAAAAGGCATTTGCCCTGCCCCCTCCTCTTGCCTGTCTCTTTGCTTTTGTTTGTTTCCATTTCTTTGTCCTCTACCATACCCTGGAATCAATACCCTTAATGGTGTTTTTCAGTTCTGTTGACCTCAACATAATGTATGCTGAGGTATACTCTTGAGTGATTGCTGCTGATCTAATTCTGTTTAGACATAAAATAAGATGGGCTAGAGTTGGGGGAGGAGCAGGGAAACAGGCTTTGAAAGTTATTTGTATTTTCTAATTACCATTGTTTCATTGTGTACAATCAAGAACTATGTTGTTGCAACCTTATTTTAAATGGGCTGACTTTCAGTATGAGAGATTGCATACTGCATTCCACATTTTAGGGATCTTTGTCATCTCAGTGTTTATGCATTGTAACACACATGTGGTGGTATATCTTTTAATGGATCACCTTCATTGGTGTAAAAGATAGGCTTTTGAGTTGCACAGAGTGCTGTGCAGGTGTCTTTCATTCTGCAACCAGCACAGCTACAACAACTCTGCAAATTTGAGAGAGTGTCCATTACTTTGTGCTTGTGGCCAGAAAAGTGATCCTAACGTTTTAAGTAATTCAGATCTTTGCTGTAGTTCTTTAAAAATTAAAAAAAAAATTGTGCATGATGTGCATTAGCTTAAGTCCCTTGATGGCTTCACTAAAGTAATTACTTTTTTCTGTGTTTCAGAACATTGAATGGTTCTCAATTGACAAATTACCATGCCATAAAAATGACATGACCCCAAAGTCCAAGCTAGGTTTGGCGCCTAACAAGTTTTTCATGGCCATTCCCTTCATCAGGTATGTTCAGGATAAGCCAAAGTCTAGCCTCTTGTTTTCAGGACACAGTTTTTTGTCAACAAAATCTAAACTTGTTCACAGACCATTGAGAGAGTGGCTTTCTCGAAGGTATGGAGACTCCTCTGATAGTGACAATGGTTTTTCATCTACTGGGAGCACGCCATCCAAGCTCAACTTGGAGAAAACAAGGTGAGAAACAAGATGAGTATGACATGTCTCGACATTTTTATAAATCATTGGCTATACAAAGCTGAAGAATGTCCATTCTCTTTCAGATTGGTCTTATAATAGGTTAAAGAGAACTTCATAGGACTGTTAGTAGAATGGAGAGGTTAATAGTGCCCTGATGTGCTTGAAGCTATAGAAAACTTTAGAATATGGCAAAACAGATAATGTCCAGAGTTCCTATATGGGAATATGAAAATCAAGTGAGAAACTTTTTTATAAAAGCTGAATTTTTTTTTATCAGAAGGTAAAATGGATAGATATGTTTTCTAAAATAATCAGTACAGAAAGGATGGAGAGGTGCCCAAAATGATGGAACAAAGAGAGAAGCAGTAATAGCTATGGTACTTAATTTCAGTTTTAAAGAAAGTTAGATAAAAGTGGCAGATGAATTTTAACTGATAAATGCAGAGTAATGAATATTGGAAAACAGAGAGAATAAATAAAAAATATAGTATGATGGGGGACTAAATTAGCTGTTTTCACTTGAGAGGTATTGGAGTCATGGTGCATTCTCTGAAAACATTCACTTAATGTGCAGCAGTAGTCAAAGTATACAATACAGTAACAATCTGATAGTCCAGCACTCCTGATAGTCCAGCATCAAAATGGCAAGAGCCTAGTGAGTGAGCTTCAGCAAAAAATGAGTCACAAGGTAACAGCGACAGCAGCTGAACTGAGCAAAAAGGGTAAAAAGGCTTTTAAAAGAAAATATTACAGTATACAGTATGTATAATAAAAAGGGTTAAGAACACTTTATATACAGTATAGTGTGTGTGTGTGTGTGTGTGTGTGCGCGTGTGTATATGTATATGTGTATATATAAATGAATAAAAGCAGCTTATAGTACCTCCTGATAGTCTGGCACCATCTAGGTCCCATAGGTTCTGGATTATTGGAAGTCTACTGTATTAGGTATCATTAAGAAAGTGATAGGACATATATTAATGCCCATATTGTGAATACTACATGTAGATGTGGCTGCCTCAATCAAAAAAAGATATCTTGCATTGAAAATTCAGAAAAGGGCATAAATTAATAGGGGTTTGGAATGGCTGCCATTTGAGGAGAGATTAATAAGACAGACTTCTCAGCTGGGAATAGAGATGACTAAGGTAGTGGAAAAAGTGAATAGAGGCGTGTTTGTGGTTGTTTTTTTCCCCCTCCATAACGCAAGACCTAGGGGGTCACCAAATGAAATTAGTAGGTAGCAAGCTTAAAACAAAAAAGTGTTTTGTCACACAATGCACGGTTTCAATCTGTGGAACTCCTTGCCAGAGGGTGTTTTGAAGTCTAAGACTGTAACAAGGTTCAAAAGAAGCTTGATAAGTTCATGGAGGGTAGGGCCATCAATGGCTGTTAGCCAGGATGGGCAGGAATGGTGTCCCTATCTTGTTTGACAGAAGCTGGAAATGGACTTGATTACCTGTTTTGTTCATTCCCTCTGGGACACCTGTTATTAACCACTGTCAGAAGACTGGATACTGTGCTAGAAGCACCTGTGGTCTGACCCAGTATGGCTGTTCTTATGTAAAACCAATGTTATGGTGCTAGAGAGGGAATTGGGTGAAAAAACAATCTTGTAACATGTTAAACCACTGGGAGATGATCTAACAAAATTGGAAGTAGGGGATCTTAAATGTAAACAGGAGGGTTTCTTAGCAGTTGTGACTTGTCAACTTGGATTGGTTTGAGAAGTTGCTAATTCAGCACCCAACACTGCTGTCGTGTTAAATTTAAGTATCTAGGTGTTATCTTGTTATCTACACAACCCTAGAGGTGAAAGGATTCTAAATATAATAAATCTTTTATTTTTTGCCACATACTGTTGTCTTATGATGTCCTATTTTTGCCTTTGTGCATAGCTCTTCCCAATAACCAGTTTAGTGAGTGGAGAAAATATTAAGATCCATTGTGTGTCAGCTTTAGTTTACCTTGTAAGATTGAAGAAGCAGAGCAGTATGTGTGTTTTCTGTTCAGTCATCATAGTCTTGAATCAAAGTTCTTTTGCAGATAACTTTTTTTTAATGGGTTAGATCCAAACTTCGTTATAGCCAGCAGATGTTTCCAGATGGCTCTCCAGGAGACCAGTGGACAAAATACAGACAACCACAGCAACAGAAGCCATATAACAATAATCATTCTGAGATATCTGAAGCTTTAAAAATAAAGGTAGGTTTCATTTTCCAATCCATTAGATTTGTTTGGAGCTCTTAAAATCAGTGGTAGCTTTGTTCACTTTTAACTTTTTGTTGTATGGGGATAGATTCTTGGGTTTATTGCTCTGTCAGTGGTGGATCGTGGTGCCCCTAGGAGTAGATCACCATGGCCAATTGACTGTGCGGCTGCCTCTTTTGATGCAGCCCAGCTGGAGCGTGGCACAACCATGGTGGGCTGAACGCCATGGCCAGCTGGGCTGAAACGTAGAGGGGTAGCTGCCGAGCCAACTGGCCACGGATTCAACCTGCCAAGGTTGTGCTGTGCTCTAGCAGTTAACTTGTTAACTTTCCAGCGTGGGGTGGGGTGGGAAGAGACATACGTGCATCCCTGGCTCTTGTCTCTCGCTCCAGGAGGGGGCGGGGCTGGGCCTGTTCCGCAGAGCCGGCATATGTGATGTAGTGTGCTGGGGACTGGGCCATGCCATGCTGTTCCCTGTGGGCTGTGTGCGGGGTTGGGGAGCCCCTTCCCCAACACCCCACTGTGTCCGGCCAGGCTGGAGCCAGTCCTGGGCTCTGCCTGCCGCAGCCCCGGACCTGCTGCCAGCGGACAAAGGGCTGGGTCAGACAGGGAAGAGACTCTTGCCCCCTCCTTGCACCAGTGCTATTCTTGGGAGGCTGCAAGTCACAGCAATGATGCCCTGTGGCGGTGGGGAGGCAGAGGTTGCACTAAGGGATGATGGGGGGAATCAGGGGGCTGAGGGGAGTGAGGCTGGAGATATAATTTTACTTTGCAGAAGCTGCACTTTCCTTTGCTCCCCACTTCTTTGCCTCTCTCCCCAACTAGCTATTCGGCTGCATTCTCACCCTTTCACCTTTTTTGTTACTCCCCTAGCTCCATTCTGCTTCCATAATTTCTCCAGCCTCCAAACTTTCTCCCAGACCCTGCCCTCCTCACTCCATCCTGAACCCAACCTCCCACCCAGATCCTGCATTCTTGTCCCACTCTATGGCAATTCTGGCCCACACATTGAGCTCCTCATTTTTGTTCCCACCCCAGAACCTAATTGTGTCCACAAAATCCACTAACTCTGTAACTCCAGAAAAGTAAAATCTGGCCTATGGGAAACCCTAAACCTCGGTCTTCCCAATCCCTTCCCCTCGCCCTTTGGGGGCTTTAGTGCCACAAGAATGAGGTGTCTCAGTTGGGGACCACATCGGTGAGGGAAGAGGGGGTTTTTTGCTTCTCTCTTGTATGGTCCCCAGCTGAATTTTCTGTGGGTCAGTGTTGATCCAAAAAAGGTTCTCCACCCTTAAATAAATAAAGAAAACATGGGAACCTTTTGTGTTGGACACAAACTATTTTACTTTATTTAAAATGAAGGTTGATAAACTAACATAGTCAAAACATTTAATCTGTGTAATAATTTAAATTAAACCATTCTCCCCAGCTGCAGCACTAGCAAGATGGCTCTGGTGTAATTATGTAACTGAGTTTCCACTAGCAATGGGTAGTCCACGGAAAAGTTTGGAGAGGGCAAAGCCTCAAGAAAGGTGTGGGATCTTGGGGAAGGGATGGGGTAGATCCTGGCTTTCCCTGGCAGTGAAAAAGTGATCTTGGATGTGAAAACGTGGGATACTACTGCTTTAAGTGTTGGGACTTCATTATATTCTGGAAAATCTTGTAATTAGACTGGGGAGTGGGTATCAACAGGCAAAGAGTGCTTTTCCTGCTACTGGCTTGCTAAGTAACCTTGAATGATAGCTTTAACTTCCTTTAAAATGATTTGAGGTACTTGAATGACAGTAGCTATATAAGTGATATAAGGTATGACACTAGCGCTTTTATTTGTATTACCTTTTTCCCGGATGTGGCAGACTCAGAACATGAGGGGTAATGGTAGAAAGCAATATCAAGATACTTCTAGCCAAAAGAAGAGGACAAATGGGGTCCACAGCCAGCCAGCAAAACAGAACAATACATTGGTAAGATTGATAGCAATAGTTCTCATATTGTTAAATTTTACTAAAATCTGTTAATGTGTGGACTAAGGTTTTGATGATGGAATGTTAGATTTGTATGTCCATGAAAACAGGTCTAAATGCTAGTGTTCAATATATGCGCTGCTGCAGAAAATTGACATTTCTCTCACATGTACACTTGCAAAGCATTGAATAATTTATCCAATTAGCATTTTTAACTGAATTCCAGTGCATTTTAAAGTAAGCCTTCAATAGATGGTTTCCTGCAATATTCCAGGTGCTTGATAAAACAGTCTAGTGTTGTACATTGCAATGTTAGAATACCTTCCGCTTTAAAATGAATATACAGATATTTTACTGTGGTACGGCAAAACCATTGAATTCTTGAAAATGTAAAGTATATGCCTGTCACTCCCATCTTTTTTGCCTGGCTACAATCAGAGGTGTAGGCTTCAAACCTACTATTTTCATGGCACAGTGGGATCAAGTTCTACCTCTGCAAACCCTAAATCCTAATACATTAACTTATTCTGTCACATAAAATACTACTAATTCCCATCTCCTTACCACCATAAACCCCCCTCCCCCCCATACATTGATCAGGGAAAATCTTGTTAAACATGTATTTTATTTGTTTTTGACGGGCATTTTTCTGTGAATAGGTTTTTTCACTTGTGCTCTCCAGGTGGCCTGGTTCTACACTCTCTTGGCTTTTGCAGTATTCTCCATTTGGCCAAGCTCAGAAAACTGCACCATCTTCCCAATACCAGTGTGTCAGGAACTAGAGGGGATTTTTAGCCATCTTCTCTGGCTCATCTTCATGGCTTCCTAGAGATCAATTGCTGCACTGATCTCCAGGCGCCTCAGTTTGTCAAGCATACACTTTTGGTTCTCTTCCTTCTTTGCTGAAAATCAGACTTCAACTCTGACTTCCTAATTCTCTGCTATTTGATTCCATTAAACAGTTCAGGGAGCATGTACTCTTGGGAAAACAAGGGAGTGAAAACAGGCTTCTGCAGCCTGGATCCTGGTGAGGCAAGGGGAGAGAGCAAAATGTCAGGAGGTTGGTGGGAGAAGAAATGTGGACTTCCGCAAACTTTGAGAAAATTCTGTATTCCAAAACCTTGGAAGCATAAGAGTACATGGGATCTTGATACGTGGGGCACTTTACACCTTGTAGCTATTGTTACAGGCATTGTGTAAACTTGGGTATGTATTTCTGCCTCAATTTATGCTTGGCTTTAGGCTTTAAATGTTTTCACAGCCATTAGGTTAGGAAAAAAAAATCTTGTAAAAAATGAAAACTTAGATTTTGAAATACAGTTCTGACTTTAGGGTTCAGAGAGGGTGTGGTGTGGTGTGTGTTTTTGTTTGTTTGTTTGTTTTTGTTTTTTGTTTTTTTGCTTGCATCAATTTCCATGGAATATCTGGGTCCTGCTTTTGTTCACTGTAGGAGTACATGTACATCTCATTATGGTTAGCAGTTAATTTCTTGGAGAGTGCACTTCTGACTCTGCTTTTTTAATGTATTTCAATCTGCCCCTTTTTCTTTAAGCAAATAAGCATGTCTGTGAATCAAATTTCCACCTATCAAATATTGATGTGATATCTATACTCTCAATAGCTTGTCTTCAAGCTCTCAGCAGGCTGTAATAGCGGATACTTAGAGGCAAAGAAGCTTTTTGATTTGCTTAAAACCTTGAGAGAGAGCTAGTATGTATGTAAATGGCCCTGTTTCACACGTGCAGAAGATTAATGAGTAATCTTGCTAGATAATTCTTTATAACAGTATCACAGAATTCACTTTTTAAAGATAATAAGCTAGATGCTTTGATTTAAAATGTATATTTGATGCCTAATTAAAGAACAGTTGTTGGTATTTATTAGCAGTTACATCTATTCATCTTTGAATGCTTGCTTATGTCCATTGCACTTAAATGTGCCTGTGCCGCTTGCACGAGGTCCTGAAGCTTTTAACCTGTACCCACTGGGCCAGCCAGGGAGCCCCCTGGAGTGGCACCAACATATCGGCGAATATATATACCCCTGCTGACCCTCCACCCCCTCAGTTCATTCTTACCGCCCATGATGGTTGCTGGAATGTCTGGCTTGCTTTATGCAAGTGCGCCCTTAGCACCTCTTATCTTTGGGACGTTGACATCGTGCAGGGGATTCACCTGCAGACTACCTACCTCCCGGGGGCCCTCAACACAGCAGGGCATTCTCGGTCCACAAATGGTCTCTCTAGGTCGGAGGTAGTAAACCTTCTTTTCCGCAGTAGGAGGACTCTGCCCCCCCCCCCCCCACTCCTCTGACCTTTTCACATCACAGGTCAACAAGAAGTGGCCCATTCCACCAGAGCCCAGGCCTCCTCAACAGCATTCCTAGCGCAGGTGCTGATCCTAGACATCTGTAGAGTAGCTACGTGATCATTGATCCGTACTTTTTACTAACCGTTATGCTATTAAGCAGCAGGCTAGACAGGATGCAGCTGTTGGCAGAGCAGTGCTGCAGTCTATTTGTCCTTAGGTTCCGACCTGTAGGTATGGCTTGGGAATCACCTAAGTGGAATGGACATAAGCAAACACTCGAAGAAAAAATGGTTACTTACCTCATAACTGTTGTTCTTTGAGATATGTTGCTTATACTTATTCCAATCCCACCCACCTCCTCTTCGTTGGAACATTCAGCAAGAAGGAACTGAGGGAGTCGAGGGCCAGCAGGGGTATGTATGGGCCAGTATGCTGGCGCCACTCCAGGGGGGCGGCACCCTGGCTGGCCCAACGGGTACTGCTAAGAGTAAAAAGCTTCCAGAACTCGTGCACACCTTAGTGGAATGGACATAACCAACCCATCTCAAAGAACAATAGTTATGAGGTAAGTAACCTTTTTTATTCCTTGTGAGAACTGTTAAAATTAAGGCACATATTATGAATATAATATATGTAAATTTTTTTAATCAGAAATGTGAAAAAAAGCTTAATCCAAGAAGACTTCAGGATAACTTTGAAACAGGCAAGTATATTAATATTAATGTGTTCACAAACATTTGTCTTTCACTTGAAATAACTTTTTGAGACTACAACTTATTACAGTTCATTCTAAAAAGAGAGAGCTTTTATTAAATGAAGATTTAAGATCCCTTTCTTTAGCTGTGAAATCTGTAGGATGGTAGAATATGCAATTGCTTATAGTTGACAATTGATTAAAAAAAATTGATTCAATCTATCTGTGGCGAGTAGAGCTGGGTTCGGGCGATCTGCGCATGTGCAGATCGCTGGACAGTACGGCTGGCGAGCAGAGCTCGCATAACTTTTTGAGACTACAACTTATTACAGTTCATTCTAAAAAGAGAGAGCTTTTATTAAATGAAGATTTAAGATCCCTTTCTTTAGCTGTGAAATCTGTAGGATGGTAGAATATGCAATTGCTTATAGTTGACAATTGATTAAAAAAAATTGATTCAATCTATCTGTGGCGAGTAGAGCTGGGTTCGGGCGATCTGCGCATGTGCAGATCGCTGGACAGTACGGCTGGCGAGCAGGGCTCGCCGCGGTTTGGCGAGCCCTGCTCATGGTAGTGTGGCAATTGAAGCATCTGAGGTTGCTGAAGGTGCAAGGACTATTCTGAAATTGCCACTACCTGACTTAGACCCCAAGGGGCTCTCCGGCCCCCTCCACTTCTCCAGTCTCTTCTTTGGGAGAGTGTCCAAGCAGTTTGTCATTTTAACTCAAGGGTAGTCAATAAGCAGATTGTGGGCCAACTCGAGACCACCAAATGCTTTTGAATGGACTGCAAAATCTTATTATTTACGTATGTTGTCTTCTCTGGATCTTGACTATACCTTCACCAAGAAAGTTGGACGTATGTTTTGTAGAAGAGAATTAACTGGGTAAAAACTGCTGTTAATGTAGCTCCTACAAAAATTGTTTTGACCACTAGATGGCCAATAAAGATAAGGAATTGCTTGCTATGCTGCTTGTTTGAAATCACCATATTGATAAAATTGCCCGTGAGTAAATTTTAAATTAAGTTTAATATACAGCTTTTAAAACTTAAATAGTAGCATGTTTTCAATGGCTTAAATAGTAGCATGTTTTCAATGGCTGTTTCATTGAACATTACCAGTTAATTTTTGGTAAAAGTTTCTGTTCCCCCCCCCCCCCCCCCCTTTTTTTTTTTAAAGCAGATGCAGCATATGATGTGTGTTTCTCCTTTGAAGACCTGCTGGAACATACTGAGGGACACTCTGTGGCATGTAATGGTCATTACAAAGTCACTTTCTCATCAAGAGCGTTTTTGAACTTCAAATTTGACCATGATGCCATAATGAAAAGTTTTGACCTCTGTTAGCAAGCCTTTTGTGGAAGAAAAAAGATCAGAGACTTACCTGTTGCAGCTGAGTGGGTTTCTAATCCAGCCTTACTCTTTCTCAGGTGTTTTTTTTGTTTTTAAAGCAATGCAGGGACTGATTGGTTTGGAAGGGTTTATTCTCTTTACAGTATGGAAGTGGCATAGTGAAGTGTCTCGCTTTTGTGGATAAAGGCGGAACTGCATTTAAAAAGTACCTTTCCAGTGTTTGATTCACTAGTTCCTGCTTTTGCAGTAGAGGGCATTCTTTTTTTTTAATAATATAACTGAAATATTTTAGTGTTGGCTGTGTACTAACACACAACTTTGAACCTTCTCAGATGTAAAGTTGTTTGCTTATTTTCTAGACTTTGCTGTAGTATAGCAATTAAAGTAATTCTCAGAGGACACCCATTTTCTCTAGCCTAGCAATGTTGAAATATTGGAGCATTTATTTTAAGTTATACATTTCAAGTCTTCTAGTTTGACCTCAAGTTTTGCAGTTCTCCTTTCCTGTCATCTACGTTATGTTCTTGCCTCTCTGTCATGCTTGAACTCCTTTCAGAATGACTTATGGTCAGTAGCGCCCAAAACTAAATCCACAGGGTCCCCATTCTGTCCTGACTTGCATCTTTTTCCTCTTCTGTGGAGATACACTTGCTGCAGTGATTTGGCTTTTCACATTAACTTGTTTTCTGTTCTTCCTTTGTGTCGATTAGAACTGTTCTCCAACAGGAGAAAATAGGATGCAAAACCTTTCACTTGCAGCTACTTTAAGATGGAGGAAGGAAAAGTAAATTTTGTGGGCAAGAGGATTATTACATATACTAAATATTTGTATTGTGCTGGATATAAATAAGTTTCTGGTCTCTAAATATAAATAAGGCCCTTCTGAGGAAAGAGGAGAATTGAGGTAGATGCATGGATGACCAGAGAATGTCATGTGCCACTTAGTGGCATAATCAAGTTTGCAATAATTTTCTAAATGTCCATTATAGTGTTCTATACGGTTGTCCTTGGAGGCATCTACTGTAATGTGTTTTTTCTTTCTCTGTCTTTTTGTCTTTCTCTCTCGTCTCAGCAGCCAGTAACTATATTTTGTGTGTCTCTTTTTAAATAAGTGGAATGTTCTTTCAGATTAAGCTAGGTAGGTGTGATGTAGTCATTCAGTCCTCTAAATTATACAGTTGTCTATCAGTTGCTGTTCCAAAGCAGCATCTCTTCTGTGGTCCAAGAATGTATGTCATCCACAGACAACTTCTTATATCTTTGGCATGGTATCTCTCAAAACTCTGTCCCTGTCTTCTTGCAAGCCCCCTATAATAGGTATTATATTTGCTCTCAATAAATAAGATTTAGCTTATTTTTATCCTTTAGTCTCTTCCTCCCTTTGGCTCAAGGAATCTACGAATTTTTAGTTAAAATATTTCCCACTAGGAAAGCTGAACTACTATATCAGTTAACAGGAGAAATAGACTCTAGTTTTTCCATTAGAAAATAAGTCCTAGAATTGGTCAGTTTTATTTTTAAAATAATTATTCTTCACTTGCTGGTATCTTACCTGTGACCATTTTACTTCCACCTCGTGGTGGTGGCTTGGCATCCCAAAATAATGTTCAATGGTTGCTTAAATCAATAAGCCCCATAGCCTACCTTAAAGCTATTCGTGTTGCCTAAATTCTCCTAAAATCAGTGGGAGTTAGGTACTAGTACATTTTGAAGATCTGTGCCTAAATGCAAAAGTCCTATCATTTAATTGAGAGGGCTAGATAATAAAGCAGGGGTGGGATGAATGTGTGAATTTACCTATTCAAATCCAAATGGAAGCAAAGCTTTGTTCAGTCTTTTTCGTTTGTGTCTAGCTCATAAGGAATCAAAGTTAGTTGTCAGACCTCCAGGTGGCTCCAGGAAACCTTTATTTCTAATAGGTGGGTTCCAATATGTTCTTTGTATGCCTCTTCACTTAATGCACCATGGATTAAATAAAGGGAGACTGATAGAGAGCAATGTCAATTTTAAACTTCTACTTGATGACAGTTTGGGATGTGAAATTGTAAAAGCAGAAGTGGTATAAATAGGATATGTAGGTGCTTTACTTGCTGGCATCGCTGAGTAAAGTGGGGTGTGTGTGGGGGGGGAGGAGGTTATTGTGAGGAATCTTCCTCCCCACCCCCCAAAAAAGGGTATAGAAAACCAGCCTGATTTTATGAAAATTAGCATCAAAGTGAGTTGAAAATAAATGTGATAAATATGCAATAATTTCTGTCTTTGTCTCTTATAAGGGTACTGTTTCAGAAATCTGAATTCAAAATCCTATTTGTGTTGTCATAGTTTCTACTTTCTCAAGGTCTCAAACAGGTTATATGCCAACACATTTAGTCTGCTATCTATGGATTTCAAGGTACCCTGCACTGTGAACATTTCAGATTGTTTAATCTTAAGAGGTCTTTTATGTCCTTGTTATGTGTTTTATGCTCAAAACGTTGGCTGAATGAATTAATAATTTTATACTTGTATTCCAAAGTGTAGGAGTACATTTTACTGGAATGTCTGTGTAAGACTGTAGAAGCAGCAAATGATTGAGTTTTATCCACTGGCTTTTTGTTCATTAAGAGAGTGGGTGGGCATTTGAAGAGAGGCAAGATAATCTAGTCAAACTTGGTTGCAAATGGACTTCGGAGATCTAGGAGTTTAGCATGAAGATGCTTGAAAAACGAGCATGTCCGTCTTTTGTACTTTGAATAAAACCCATTTTAACACTCACCTGCATTACTAATCAAATTGTGACTCTTGCTTATCTCTTATCCTTGACGTTAAGATTCCTGAAATTGAGGAAGACTGTTTAACAGACTAAGATCAGTATAGGTACTGGAAATCTGGAATTCACGTAAGTCTCTAGTACTAGATAAACAATTTATTTCAGTTTTTTAATAGGGCTGTCAGTTAACTGCAGTTAACATGATTAACTCAATTGCGATGAAAAAATCTCAATTGCACTTAAACAATAGAATATCAATTGAAACTTACTGTATATTGGATGTTCTACATTTTCAGATGTATTGATTTCAATTGCAGTACAGAATACAAAGTGTACCATGCTCACTTTATATTTTTACTACAAATATTTGCACTGTAAAATGATAGTGTTTTGCAGTTCACCTTATAAGTACTGTAGTAAATCTCTTTAATCATATAAGTGCAACTTACAAATTTAGTTTTACATAACTACATTAAAACTATGTAAAACTTTAGAGTCTGCAAGTCCACTCAGTCCTGTTCAACCATTTGCTCAGACAAATAAGACACTTCTTGTTTAGTGTCACCTAAAAGTGGGAACAGGCATTCACATGCCACTGTTAGGTATTTATATGCCAGATATAGAAAACATGCACAATTATTTAAATAGTATTCTTATTGTTTAACAGTGTGATTAATCTTGTGATGACTTTTTTTAAATCTCTTGATAGCTTCAGGTTGTTAGTGCAGTTGTGTGCATTTCTTTACCCACTCCTCCCATATTTTTTTATGCAGTGTACTGGGTTTTGGTTTTTAATTTGAGGATTTTGTGACCACAGACTTCCTTAGCATGTTTTGTATCTTGGTGGTCTTGGTACAGAGGAGGAAAAGGTTTTATCTCACTATTGAAAGCTTCTCTTTCTGTATGTTTCGTTTGTAGTAAGTTTCTCTTAAACTACAGGCTTGCATACCATGGTCTGATTGATGATAGTTTACTTTTGAGATCTACAAGAACAGTCTTTACTGTATTTATTCTTTGACTCTTAAAATGCTCCATATATATAAAAACTATTGCGTTTTAGCATTAAGGCACACTGTGCACGCTGGCTGTTTCTAATAAGTTTCATTTAATAAGAAGAGTGTATTTTCTGCTGTGATCATTGACCTGAAGTGTGTGGATTTTTTCCACTTTGATTTGCCCTCTGTTCTCCACTGCCTTCATCTCTGACTGGCCTGGATACTTTTGTACCTGTGTTGGAACATGAGATGTTACTGTTGAGCCATATGGCCAATTGTATGGTGTTTTATCTTAGTAAGCTTTTCATTTTCAGACTCCTGGTTCAAATTCTGATTTAACATCCTAGGGTATGTCGACACTACAAAGTTAGTTCGAACTAACGGATGTTAGTTCGAACTAACTTTCATAGGCGCTACACTAGCGCTCCGTTAGTTTGAATTAAATTCAAACTAACGGAGCGCTTAGTTCGAACTAGGAAAACCTCATTTTACGAGGATTAAGCCTAGTTCGAACTAGCTAGTTCGAATTAAGGGGTATGTAGCCCCTTAATTTGAACTAGTGGGAGGCTAGCTCTCCCCAGGTTTCCCTGGTGGCCACTCTAGCCAACACCAGGGAAACTCGTATGCTCCCCTCCTGGCCCCGGGCCCGGACCCCTTAAAGGGGCACGGGCTGCTACGGTGCCCGTGCCAGGTGCAAGCCTGCCAGCACCCAGCCAGCAGACCCTGCACCTGGCATGG